AGAAATGTGTCTTATCATAATTGTTCTTAACTTGATAGAGCAACCTTTGTAATAAAAGTGCACATATGAGAAAGAAGCCAACTTCTTAGGTACTGAAAAAAAAACATGATAGAAAAAAAAAAAAAAAAAAAAAAAAAAAACAACCGCCAAGTTATCTGTACAATTAGATTTCAAGTATAGAATGATTATAGGCCTAGTAATAGTAGCAACCCAACTTCCTCTCATGACCTAAATAGATTCACCTCAAAAATCTATATAAATAGCATGACCAAAGTTAAACAATTATCACAAGTTGATCGAAGGTTTCTACAGTACATGAATTTGAACCTGCAGGTCTTAGGGCTTAATCACGACTCGAGAAAATACAAAAGATGATCAGAGGGAGACACACAATTAAGGGGCTGTTTACCAAACACTTAACCGGTAAGTGTTTACCGGTAAAATTCAACACTATCATTTATTTACCTGGCAAAATTTTAGTTCACAAAAACGACATTGTTTGCAACAATTTACCTGGTAAGTACTAACCGCGGTAAGAGTCATCGCTCTCACTTACCGGGTAAGACTCTTTTCTTTGTGTCGTTCTTACCGGGTAAAATTCCTAGTCCTTACCACATTCATCCAGTAAGATAATGTGACTAAGTAAGCTCTTACCCAGGTAAACGTTTGGTCAACGACCCCTAACTTCATTAGTGGAAGAATAGAAAGAGTGGAATAAGCAAAACCAAAAACAAAAATATGGATAACTTGATGTGCAATGCAAAAAAAGAAGACGACATAACTAACTTTATTTGTGGTTAATTCCTTTCGCAACATGAAAATGTCTCAAACGTGCTGATAGAAGACATCAAAGCCTCCTTTTTTGAATAGTGCTCAACAAATAGAAACTACATTAGTACCATATTGATCAAATTACTAAAGCACCAATTAAATATATCAAAGCACTCCTCATTACTGCAGAAACCTTCTATAAACTAACATGAAAAGAAGATAAAAATTTGAGAGTTTTTCTGCTAAAAATTAAAGGCATAATTACCAAGACATATTGTARAAGAGTAAACCCTAATACACCAAAGAGAAAAGTGGAAACCACTCAATCAACAAAAGACCAAAGAAAAAAGTAAGCCATTACAGAAGGGCACAATAAATTGATTTGGGGTACAAAGCTATCTAAGCTCTTTCTCAACTTCTCTGGCTTCCACAGSTAGCTAGGCAAGCAACCAAATTTTTCCCAGTTAGCCAAGAGAAAATCAATAACAAAGAAGGAATAAGTGAGAAAACAAACAACTTCATGTAACAGTGGATGACTAAGAATACAATTTAATGACCACAACACTTGTTATCTTTCCTATGATGCTTTCTGGAGTTACAAGATACAAAGACATGAATATGAGCGATCTCCAAATGCAGATAGATACCACCTTATATTGCAGGGACAACTTTGCTGCAGCAACTAAAGCATCACCAGTGTAGTGAAGCTTGTTGTGAATTTTATATCGCTCTCGAAGATCCTCCAAAATCAGTATTGTTTCATCAACAGAGGGCTCAGACACCTTAAGTCCTTAATGGGTTGAAACCATCTATCCAATGCTAGATCCTTCTTGATATGCTTTAGGTATTCATCAAGTGTGGTAGCCCCCATAGACTGTCACATAAAATGCATCAACCTGAATTTAGAAAGTTGAAGTAAATACTTGTAAGTGATAACCAAAAGGGTTGTACACTATAAAGAACAAACAACAATGGCAGATAACTATCATCCCACTAAACATAATATTTTCCATGATATACAAAAATAAAAGAAAAAGAGACTATGTATTGCCTTCCGCTTTGTATTACAAAAAAATATAGTCTGGGTAAATGCAAGAGTATCATACGAATCACAAAGAGTATTAAACTTCCAATTTTCTCTATCTACCACAACAAAGAATTGTTTTATGCCCTGACATGGTAAAATATGCAAATTAAAAAAAACATCTTGGTAGGCAGAATAGTCTTTGTCAAATTAAGCAGCATATGTCTTACCTCAAGAGTCAATTCATCACCTTTTACAAGGATTCAAACAGGATAAGTCATGAATTTGCTGGTAATCTCCAATATTTTGTTTGGAAGGGTAGCAGAAACTAAAACAACCTACGACAAAAATGCATGTTCTTATAATGCAATAGGAGTCTAAAAGAAAGTGTATGTAGATTTCAACTCAACAGTGACAGTAACTCTATCCAGGCACGAGACTAAGTTCCAGTTAATCACAAACAGATTCATGTAATATGCTATGAAGAAGAAACCAACATGTACTAAAAAAGAGAAAAAGGAAAAATGTGTTGCATTCAAGATTTGGACAAATGCAAATAACATAAGATGTTGTTGCTAAACATACGTTCATATCACATCTGCCAACATCATTATAAATGATTTTCTGTATCATATAGCACACATAAGTTTTAACTGGCCCCGTGAATGAAGTCCTAAAATTAGTTCATTGGATGTTTGATTTTTTGTCTAGATATCTAGTAGGCAAGTAGCTCGCTTCTCAATTACTAGTCGGCCTTGCACCAGTCATGATTCTCGACCACTATCACTTCCTAACAGAAAATAGGTATATATGATTATCAATTATAGTAGTAATGTTATAGTTATTGGTTGTTTCAAAAGTGTAAAATAACAGGTTTCCTCACAAAAGTTTTGTAGTTGTATATCATGATCAAATAGAATTATTGCATACACATTATTGATGTTCTTCTAGGCCCATTCCAACACTTCCATACTTGAAGGTGCAGAGAATAGTCAATCCAGTTGGTTCCTGAATTACATTACAAGTAGAGATTCATATAGTTAATAAAAATCAAGAAGAGATTCATAAGCTCCGATATCAAGAGAYAACGATCCATTAACTCAAATCAATGCAGGAAAAAAGCAATCAAYATATGGTGTTTTGGTATTTGTTTGTAGACAAAAGAAAAATGGAAAACAACAAAAGACTGTTTTTATTTTTGTTTGTAGCATAAACTCAAATTAATGTAGGAAACAACAACCATGTAGAACAAGAATAAATGCTACCAAGATGGAAAGCTAGRAAAAGATGAATGAAACAGTTTGTAAAAGCTAGATAAAGATGAACGAACACCTACGCCACCTTTGTAAAATTTGCCATCGTCCCATTTTTGTCTCCAATAAGTGATAAACAATATGTTTGCATCTTTGTTTTCACATAAGAAACCAATTTAAACAAACTACACAAAGATCCAAAATTTTTACCTGAAATTGCCAACCAATCTAATACATAAACTGATCTACGAAACATGAATATCATTATACTTATATCCCCTTCTAACAAAAGTCACATTTACATGAAAACACAAAGCACCCCCAAAAGTAATAAACAATACAGTTTAAACTAACACCAGAAAACCCCTCCCCCCCAAAAAAAATTCCAACTTTAATTCTATTTCACCGGTTTTTATAACAAAAGACCAGTTTATGCTAAAAACACAATGCCTAGAAAAGACACAAGTAAGGAGGGATAAAGAGCAACATTAGCAATACCCTAAAACTAAGCATCTCATGTCCAAATATGTAATATCATTTAAAAAGTTGGTGTTGCATAAAATCTAAATAAGAAGCATTCCCACAGTGGTAAATGTTAAAAATGAATATTTGACTTAGATGGTCTGGTTTGTAATTCCATAACCAGACAGCAGTCCCAAACAGTCCCACAACAGTAAATGATAATCAAAGACTTTGCTGATGTTTGGAGACACACAGACCCAKGCTCATGTTTGTTTTGTTTCTGGTTTCGAGTCAAAACACATACCTGAATCTGGAAGTATCTTAAATCATGGGATATCTACAAAAGGAAAATGAGGGATCTGATCATTTTGTACAAACTCTGAAGGCTAAATATGCCATGTTCAAGAATGTCCTTACATCAGTTGTCCATGAATGAATATCTACATAATAATGCAATTTCCAGAAAAGGCATACATGATGCAACATAATTGACAATCAAGCATATAAAGACCAAGATCAGTGGAAAGAGGATAGCAAGATGGAAACGAAGTGAATGAGTAGTGTGTATGAGTATTTGAAGTATATAAAGATGCCTAGAAAGTTGCCTTAAGCATCTTGTATTTAAGCTTCACAACAGCGTATTTAAGCTTCATGAGAAAAATGGATCTTGTATTTAAAGCTTCAAAGAATAAGCATCATCCAAACATATTCGATTTGAAACTCCAAAAACAATTACTAAAATTACTGATCGTGCATCTTAATCAAAGTATAAAAAACAAAACTTAAACCTCAATACTCGAACCATCATGTATACGATTCAAGCCTAAACCTTTTTCAAAAATTTATGAGTGATTAAACACCAGATGAAAATAAAGATCTATCCACTACATGGAAAAAGAAGAAATGCTACCAATATGGAAAGCTAGAAAAAGATGAATGAAACAGTTTGTAAAAGCTAGATAAAGATGAAGGAACACCYGCGCCRCCTTTGTAAAATTTGCCATCGTCCCATTTTTGTCTCCAATAAGTGAYGAACAATATGTTTGCATCTCTGTTTTCACATAAGAAACCAATTTAAACAAACTCCACAAAGATCCAAAATTTACCTGAAATTGCCAACCAATCTAATACATAAACTGATCTACGAAACATAAATATCATTATGCTTATATCCCCTTCTAACAAAGATCTGTTGGCGATTTTCTTTTGCTAAACAGTCCTGGAAGACAACTTTTGAATTGCTCAAGAACCAAATGGATCGAACCAAATGGACAAACAACTTTTGTCAAAAAAATGGACCTCTACTTACTACTTGTTGATATTGACATTATTTTAAGCTGCATCAACAAGAAAAATCAAATGTTAATCGGCATTAACAACAATGAATTAAGCATAACATGAACAGAAATATCATAGAAATCAATGAAATTGAAAGGATCGAACCA